AACAACTGAAGCACCAAAAAAGTAAGTCACCGTGTCTGTGTTCCTTTCCCTCTCCTCCCATTCCCTGTTTTGTTTTCTTGTTTCTGGAACTCTGTCTCATCAGAAGGATCTCACTAGGAGAAGAAGAAAAAAAGTGGGAAAAGAATAGGAAAGCCCAGTAGTGCTGGCCTACTGCTAAGCAAAGTTGACAAACGAGAGAGACTTTCTCTGCACAAAGTTTGACAGTCAGTCATTCAGTCATTCAGTCATTCAGTTAGTCAGTCAGTCAACTTGTCAGTTAGTCGACTTCAATTGACTTCAGACCTCAGCGCCAATGAAAGTTTACTCAATGCGACTCAGTCCTGCTTGACAGAATGAACTGAACCAATTTGGCCCCTTCGATTGCCTCTATTGACTTCTATTACTCTTTTTTTTACTTTGTTTGAGTTTGGTACAATAACTCTAACTCTTGCTCTTTTTAACTGAGTTCTTTTAATTTTTTTCTGCAAAACGCCGTTTCTTGTTTGATGTTTACTTTGTTTCTTTTTTCTCTCTCTTTTTACTAGACGGAATTCCAGACGAAGGAATTCTCACTCTTTTCAATTTTATAAAAGAATTTAGCGGCACGACACGGAAACGGTTTTTTTCTTATCATCATTACGATCTGCCTACTACTTCTTACTATTGTCATCATCGTTATCACAACAGAACAGAAGTAGTCAACAGAGCTCACAACAACTCTACAATAGACAAATTGAAAAAAATCTTCAAAAAGGGAAACAAGTCTTGACAAGGGCAACAATCATTGAGAAAATAAAGCATACTGAAAAGTGTAAAAAAGTTGCGTGACTCGTCGCGATTCAAAATTCTGATTCAGTTTAACGACCGGAAAAAAGCACCTGTGCTGCGCACAGAAATCAGCGTCAGAATTTTAAACAGCATTGATTTTAGGAAACTTTGTAGAATTTGTGAAGCAGTATTTAAATCTTTTTAAGTCAGTCTGTTTAATAGTTTGCAAAAGTCAAATTTGAACAATAACGTCAACAAGAATATAACGTAAAGAAAAACACCCGGTCAAAAAAAGCAATAAACTCAGCAATATTTTCAAATTAAATTCTTCAACACGACTTTCCTCTCAGACACCAAAAGGAACGGTAAAACTCTGGTAAGTCTCTAGACACGTTTAACTGCCCATTATTACCCTTCTGTTTTTCAATTATCGTTTTTTAATTGCGCAAACATTTAAACACGCATTTTTAAGTTGCCATCAAAGTTGTCAGTTTTCATTTTTATTTTGCTTTTGCTTTTTTATTGATTATTGTTGTAATTGTTTTTGGAGAAGCTTTTGTCGAAACATCTCATTTGGCATTCATTAGCAGGACGCCTGGTGCTTGCAAATGGCAAGAAAGGCGAGGCGACTTTTCTTTGCTTTTTCTGCTGTGAACCCATTTTCAACAACCAACGTTTTCGCTGCCTGCTGTTGCCGACTAGGTCGACTAGACCTACTACAACAAGACAAAGTGTGCACACATTAAGGCTAGGTCGGGCTGTTATTATTATTATGGTATCATTGCTTATTGCTTATTGCCTTGCCGACACTCCGTTTTATCGGCGTCGGCGGCGGCAGCGACAGACGCGGCACTAACCAGTTTTACTTTCACTTCTGTTTTTCTTTTCATTCATTCTCAAAGCTTCTTTTTATTCGACTTGTCGATGTTGCTCAGCTTCTTATCATGTCTAGGCAGTTCTCGGCATTGTTGGTGAATCTTCCTCTTCTTCTTCTTCTTCTTTGTGATCGGGTTGTCGCGTCAGTGCGTTCAAAAACGTCCTTTAAAGCAGAAAATGGTTGTTTCAGCTGTTGTCATTTTGCCCTTTTTTCGGTTTTAGGCTTAATGGATTTGGCTGTTTCTGCTGCAACCGGACTCAGAACTTGGTTGCTAAATGCCAAGCTGCTGCTGCTGACAAAGCTGCTTGGAGCACTTTCATTGAGAGAGTGCTCTCAATTCTCTCTCTCTCTCTCCTTCCCTCTCTCAATTGCCAGCTTTCATTGGCAAATGTACAGTGGCAAATAGTTTGCTGCAGTGCGTGAGCTGGTCATTTATTGCCGCCGATGTTGCCCTTTGCTGCTACTGCTGCGGCTGCTGATGGTTATTACCATCATCATTTGCTCTACCACTCTCCAACCTAGAAGAGAAAGGTCTAGCCTTCCCCAATACTTCTCTCCAAAAAGTGTCCAGTCAACCAGTCAGTCAGTCTGGTCTGGTCCAGTTTGGTCTGCTGCTGCCGCTGTTGCCAGCCAACCAGACTACTAGAAACTGCATCCCCATCAGCTTAACTAGACTTTCTCTCTTCTCATTTCAATTTGGTTGCTTTCCCCTCTTCTTTCTTTTCCTTCCCCTTGCTGCAGTTGGCTTTGATGGCCCTTTGGACGTTGGTGGAATTTAATTACCGAAAAGTGCCCAAAAGACTGCCGTTGCCGCTGCTTCTGTTTTCGCTGCTGTACTGTGCCAAGTACACTTGCATTCCACCATCACTACCACCACCGCCACTTTACCGAGCTTTAAAATTAAATTCTCGGTAATTCTGAAACAACAGCAGCAGCAGCAGTCCGGTTTCTCTAGTGCTCTGGAGTGAGTGTTTTCCAGAGTGCAGCATTATTAGCAGCAGCAGCAGAAGCAGCAGTCTTTTTGGCACTTTTTGAAACTAGTCAGAGCTTGGAACACACACACACACACACACACAGACTGCATTGCCATTGGCACTGTGTGTGTGTGTGCGGTGGCAATTGCCTTCAAGAGCTAATCAGCAGACGCACTCAAAGTGTGTGTGTGTGTGCTAACTTTCTGTTCACCACCACCACCACCACTACCCTAATGCTCTTATTATTGACCAAAAAAAGAAAAGGAAGAAAATGAAGAAAGCCAGTTTTTAGTTTTCCATTAGCCATATTTCTGCCTGCTTGCCGCCTTGTTCGCCAAGGGGCCAATTTTAATAGAAAACGCTTCAGTACAATGCACGACGGATGTTCCCGCTTTCTTTCTTTTTCTTCCTTTTTGTGTGTACAACAACGACGCCGGCATTGTCTGCTTTCTTTTTTCAATTTTTGTTCAGTTGCCCAGTCAGTCCTAGTAAAACTGAATAAATGAAGAATAATGGCAGTAAAAAAACTTGAAGAAGATCATTTTCACAAAGATGAAAGAAAGTGCGAGGATGCGTATGATTGCCCAGCTTGACCAGACATTAGTGCTCTGGTGCTATCTAGTGGTTGCCTGCCTAGCAGTGGCAGTGCGCTTCTCTGCGTTTTTAGTTTAAATTTGATAGCGGTAGCCCCCCCTCATTTTTAGCGGCGTCTAATTGGGTGCCCTCGCGCTTTCGTTCTTCTATCTCTTTCTCACACTTGAAACTGACTGCAGCAGTTCAGTTCAGTTCAGCAGTGCTCGCACTGGAGAGTCAAGTCGATAGTAGTCGGCTGTATTCTCTCGAATGTACAACAGCCGCCGTACACCCTCGCAAATCAAGTGTGAGAAAGTGTAAGAAGAAACTGAAAACACAGGACTGCTGTGCATTTGTTTCTCTCCGTTCTCTAGCTCATACACACTCGATCTAAGCTATATATTACTCTTGAGGCTCCTTTGAGAAGCGCTCCCAGTTGCAGTGCCGTATTTTGCCGTACGACGAGCACTGTACAGCAACTTCTGCTGCTGTTGTTGCTGCTGTTGTACAACAGACGTACAGTTTGTACTCTGTACGATATAGTTGTTTTCTCTCTTTCTCTCTCCTAAGGGACATTTTCACTTTCTACTAAGAAGTATCCCTCTCTTTCTTCTCGTTCATTCTACAATGGGCAGCAGCAGCAGCAGTGGGAATAGAATGAGAGAAAAGAGAGAAAGTGCCGTCCTCTTTGCTTGGCCTTCGGCCCTTGACAAATTGATAAGTCGGGGCAGCACTTTCGTACTGCTGGTACTGCTTTCCTTCAAAACGTTTTCTCTTTTCTTTTCTTCTTTTTCTCTCTTTTCACTATTGAATCAGCAGCAACAGCACCAACAGCACCGAGAAAAAAGAGAAAATAATAAAGCTAGTTGCAAACACTGGCGCCCATATTCCTATAGACCTGCACCAACAGACCAACCGACCGACCGACCGACCAATACTGACACTGGTGCTCCAGTGACACACACACACACACACACACAGACAGACACCACTGGTGTTCCAACCAACGGGTTTTGGCTCTTTTGTGTTTCCTTCTCTGTCTTGTTCCTTCTCAGTGTGTCAGTAGAGTGAACGAACGAGCGAGCGAGCGAGTGTCAGCAGACTCAGCATCACTGCAAAAGAGAGAGAGAGAGAGAGAGAGGCAAATGCACAGAGAGAAAGAGAAAGAGAATAACGTTTCGGCAAATCGAAAAGTTGGGTTCAACCACTAAGCAGCCAGCCAGCCAGCCACTAGTCAGCACTCGATTCGAACGAGTGAACGTGATCGAACAAATAGGCTGCAGGCGGCTGCTGCTGCTGAACACACACACACACACACACTAATGCTGTGTGTTTGTGCTGCTGTTCCAGAAACACACCAAAGCTTGTGTCAGACCTAGACTCAGTTGACACAACAAACAGGTTCACTCACAAACCTTTTCTTTGATTTGATTATCTATTTGTGCGTGTGTGGCTTTGTCTTCTGCTGCTCATCTGTATTCCTTTAACTTATTATTACATTTTACTTTCTTTTTATCTTTCTTATCCCCATTTTTCAATGCCTTTTATTCAATGCAGTTGCAATACGTACGACAGATAAAACAGTTTTGATTAAATTCCTTTTGTAACAAAATTTTTACTTTTTTCAGAAACAATAGCTCTTAAATATACCTATTCCATCGTAGTACACACTTCTTCCTAAAATCAAAATTTTGTGAAAAAGAAGAACTTATAAGAGGCTCTACTAAAGTCATTATCATCATCATCATCTTCTTTTTTGTCATCACCATTACCATCACTACCAGCACTACTACTAACAGCTAACAAAAATGGACTTCTTCTCAAATCTGGTGAAAAACACGGCGACCAAGGTGGAGACGCTGACCAAGTCGGCGACGGCGGCGGCCAACTCTGCCGTCAGCTCGCTCAGTCCGACGGGCGCCAATTCGCCCACTGAAGAGGCGCAAAACGGTGATCAGCAGCAGCCCGTGGAGGCCACCGCCGAGAATGGCGCCATCATCAATGACCTCAATGGTAAGTGTTTAACCTTTGTTTTGTGTACTTAAATTTTTAACTGTCATTTCAAAATAGAAGGAGGCAAAGGCATGACTCGCTCCGGTTCCGGTGACACAGAGGGTGCCGACGATGAGGCGGCCATCGCAGAGGGTGACGCCGACGCCAAGCAGACGTTCAACGCTGCCGAGGTGTCGCAGAAGGCGGTCGAGGGCGCCAAGTACTTTGGCAGTAAGTTGAAAACAGCTGTTTGCTGTGTTTTGTTTTAAAATTTTTTTTCAAAAAACATACACTTAACAATGCCATCAAATGTTTTTCCCATTCCTTTATGCAGACTTTCTCTACAGCGTAGGCAACAAAGCGGCGGCCACTGTGTCCGCCACTGCCAAGCAGATCAAAAGCACCGTTGAGAGTGTGGTAAGAGGTTTATCATGTTGTACAATCTGTTTATCTTTATCACTTTACTGTTTTTGTTTTTTCTTTATCAATTATCAGGGCATCATGCAGGAGTTCACCAAGGAACAGCAGGAGTTCATCAAAGAGCACGGCGGCAGCACTGAGCTGAGCGAGCCGCCCTGGGTTGGCTGCGAAGATGAGGAGAAGGTCAAGACGGAGATACTGAGTCTGTCGGCGGACAAGCGCAACTTTGTCCGCTCTCCGCCAGGCGGCGTCGAGTTTCCCTTCGACATGGCCGCCTCATTTCCGGTGGCGCTGACGTTGCTGCGCGAAGACCCAGAGCTGCCCAAGATGCGCTACGAAATTGTCCCTAAACTGTAAGTTTGCTGAAAGTGCTAGAAAGTGTTCAACACTTTGAGGGAACTCAACTTTTTTCGGGGGAAATCAATTAAAAGATTTTCAAACAGTTGGGTGTGTGTGTTTAAGTGCTTGTTAGTAGTCGAGCAAAACACACTTGAAAGCAATTAAGAAAGGAAAACCAGTACTTGAAAACTTTTCTGCTGCTGTTTTGCTCTGTTTTTCTGCCGCCACTTGAAAGCACTTTCTTGGCCAAGTTCGGGTTTCTTTTTCTTCAACTAAACTTTGCATCCCTTTTTTCCACCATTTCAGCGTGAACGAGGAGACCTTCTGGCGAAACTACTTCTACCGAGTGTCACTTATCAAACAGGACCCGAACTTCACGACGGCTTCAGGGGCCGGCGGTGCTTCAAAATCTTTTGCCTCATCTCGCTCCTCATCGAGCTCGGAGGGCCCCGATGATCCGGCGGAGGCAGGCAGAGATGACAGCGAATTTGTCAGCGACAGCTACCACGCTGGCCAGTCGGCGGTCAGCGCCGAAGAGGTGCGCCAGGACATGTACAAGTTGGGCATTCACAAGAAAAACAGCAGCAAACAACAGCAGCAGTCTGCTGATGGTATGTCTTGTACAACAGCTTATCGTCGCTTTGGGTTTTTTTCATTTCATTTTATTTTGTTATTTTTCATTTTAGCCGACCTCGACGAAGAGCTGGCCAAGGATCTGCACGAGTTTGAGGTGGTCTCCGGCGCCGACTCTGGCGTTGTGGGAAAGGTGGACGAGGATGAGATAAATCGCGAGCTTGCCAACTTTGACATGAAGTAAATGGTGGAGCAGTGTTGATCAACGAGACAGCAAGAATAACTTCAGTCAGTTCTGCCTAGTTCAGCAGTGCAAACCGTTAGAACCGTTTTGCCACACACTTTAACAACACCACTGATCAAGTCTTCTCTATCTTTCGCTATCTCGTTTTTGTTTTTTAAATTTCTGTGTCGGGACTCTTTTTCCAGAACACTTCTTTTCACACTTTCATTTTTGCTGCACTCGCCCACACCTGCAACAACACACTGAAATGAGCACACTTTTTCTTCTCTCTTTCTTTCTCCCTCTCATATCGCGCACCAATTGTTTGTCCTTTTCTCATTTGTTTCTTTTTCCTTTTCTTCATCCGGCACTCGACGCAATGCACAGCTGCGCATCTCTTCCACTCACTGTTCTTCCATTTCCACAAGCAATACAAAAAACTGCACACTGATCCCACAAAAAACCTAATAACATGCACTAATAATAATAACACACACACACACTTTCAAACAAAAAAGAAGTTTAAAAAGCGCAAAAGGTGATAGGAACACTTAACTTACACACCTCTTCCCCTCCCCTACACTCATCTCACGGTGGTTTTCCTCTCTTTGCATCTCTTTCTTCCTCATCTTATAACTCGTTCTTCTTAAAAACTGCCCTTTTAAAGGCGAAAGGAAGCGAACTTCTCTTTTTGTTGTTATTGAAAGCAATACTTCCTCCTCTTTCCGCCCCGTTACCACTACCTCTAATTCGTATCCGATACACACACACACACTTTAACACTGCAGATCAGTGTTCAATTGGGCGTTACGACCAAAATTTCTCGCCGCCAATTCTACCAGCAGCAGCAACATTCAATCGATAAACACACACACACACACGCATTTGAGAGGTGGACACATTTCGATCGATCAGAACTGGAGGAGGGAACGGAATTGNTTCTTTGCATCTCTTTCTTCATCATCTTATAACTCGTTCTTCTTGAAAACTGCTCTTTTAAAGGCGAAAGGAAGCGAACCTCCCTTTTTGTTGTTATTGAAAGCAATACTTCCTCCTCTTTCCGCCCCGTCACCACTACCTCTAATTCGTATCCGATACACACACACACACACACACACACTTTAACGCTGCAGATCAGTGTTCAATTGGGCGTTATGACCAAAACTTCTCGCCGCCAATTTTACCAGCAGCAGCAACATTCAATCGATAAACACACACACACACATTTAAGAGGTGGACACATTTCGATCGATCAGAACTGGAGGAGGGAACGGAATTGCTGCCGTTGTTGCCGCCGCCGCCAAAAATGAAAGCACCATCTGGAGCAGAAACTGAATATCGATCGATCCATCACAAACACTCTCCTTCTGGAACAACAACAGCAGCAGCAGCAGCAGCTGCGCCAACGGGCGCTCTCTTCCCGCGTCTGTGAGTGTTTTTTCTTGTTTTCTGCTTTCACTTTATCACCGCTATCATTTCCACCACCACCACCACCACCCTCATCATCATCATTCACGTTCTCTTTTGCTTATTTCTCAACAATTTTTTAATTATTTTTTTTCATCTCAACAACGACGACCCGACAACAACAACAACAACAACCCAAACAGCAGCAATTTAGTCAAGCACACTGTCCCAATAACACTCTTTCTCACACACACATCCCATTTCACCCACGCTTAACATGTGTTTACTAAAACACTCATAGACACTTTCTCTCTCTCTCTCTCTCACATTGACTAGGCAAAAAGAGTGCAGTTAATATGTCAGTTTTAGATGCAAGCAAAAGTAGAAATAAGGTTTGTGAATAAGAGCTAGATTAGAAGAACCACAGAGCCAGAACTTGAAGATGATGGTTTTTATTACCTGAAAAAGTCTGAGCACCACAGCAATTCAAAAGCGCAACCAGTTTAAGCCTGTTACACTGCGTGTAAATTACGTTGTTTGTATAAAAAGGGCGCTGGTTGAGCAATCTTCATAACTTTAATTCATGTACTTTTAACTTTTTTCATTTTTCTCCTTTGCCGAGTCATCATCCACGAATCATTTTTTTTCTTTTTTATTTTTTCACCTTTTTTCAAACGTGGCCACCATTTTCCCAGTTTTCAGTTTTGCTTATCATTTCACCGATTACACCGTTGTCCAACTATCGGTGATCTTCACACACACACACACTCACTAACGCAAACCTTTTTGTTTAAGTACATTAACTACACTTTTTGGCCCTTTGTCCTCTTTTTTTCTTCCAGTGGCAACACACTTTTTTCACACTTTTCATTTTGGTTATACTTTAAACTGTTTTTCCTTTTTTGTTATCAACACTTTCTTTTTCACTATTTTTTTGCTCTTTGCATCCACAAACAGACACCTTTTTACTAAGTTTCCCATTCAATTTTTGTTTTACACTGTTTACTTACCAATTCAGTAGCATGGTGCAATACACAACAAACACACACAAGCAAACACTTTAAAAATTTTCAGTACCAAGCAACACACTTGAGTATCATACTGACTATTACCAACACTTCAACAACTACATCCACTTTGATCTTCCAATGTTTAAAAATTCAAACAAAAAATATTTTGATTTTCTTTTTGTTCACTTTTATTAAAATACATTTTTCATTTTATAAAATCAACTAGTAATAAATTGAAAATTTTTGTGATTTTAGTTTATCTTTGCAGTGAATAGTGTTAGATTAGACAAAAATTGGTTAAGAAAGNGACTATTACCAACACTTCAACAACTACATCCACTTTGATCTTCCAATGTTTAAAAATTCAAACAAAAAATATTTTGATTTTCTTTTTGTTCACTTTTATTAAAATACATTTTTCATTTTATAAAATCAACTAGTAATAAATTGAAAATTTTTGTGATTTTAGTTTATCTTTGCAGTGAATAGTGTTAGATTAGACAAAAATTGGTTAAGAAAGTAATTGATAACCCTGATTTATTAGGTTAAAAATTTTATTAAAATAATGTAGTTTACAAAAAATTATGGATAAAATGTGAAATAAAAATTAGTGATAAGTTAAAGGTTAAAATATTACATATTAGTTTGTTTAGAAAAAATGGTTTCAAGTTATTATTTTGCTTTTAAAACCAACTGATGATACAAAAAGTAAGTGCACTAAAAGTAAGTGCTTCTCATGGGCGTCGCCGCTGTCACGTCCATTGACAGGTGATGGAGTGGGTGATGATGATGGCCACTGGAAGCGCTGCTCAAAATGGGCTTAAAAGCAGTGGTCATCCCTGAATCACTACTACCAACACCACCAACAATTGCATTGCTAATTGCAGCACTTCCATCGACGGTGTGTCTGTGGCCATTGCTGGCGGCCATTGCAGCGGTCCTAGGACCCGGTCTGACGGTGACCACAGTTGGGGTGTTTGCCAACTGACTCTTCATGACTGGCTGTGGTTGTTGTTCAGCAACTGCATCAACAACTGCCGATTCATTGGAGGAAGTTGAGCGAATCAGCCGAAGGCGATTTGTTTTAGTGACCGGGGGCTGCTCATTTGACTGCAACACTCGCACGGCCGCTGATTTAGGCTGCTGCTGCTGCTGCTGCTGCTGAGGAAAAACTGAAACTGAACTTTGATTTTGCGGTTGCTGTTGCTTCATCGGGTAGTACTGCAGGTCGAGAGATTTGGCCGCCTGAATTGAAGGCCTTGAAGAGGTGGCTGGTGTTGCTGCAGGTTGAGGCTGAGAGGTTCTCGGCGAGACGGCGTTGAATGAGGAGCAGGTGGCCGTCTGCTGAAGGCGACCCGGTTTCTGGTGACTGAAAACGGGTCCCTGCTGAAGTAGTGGTGAGGAGCTGTTTGCCGGTGAAGGTTCAGCATTAACTCCACTGGAGTTTGTTTGAGCCTGTTTTCCGCTTCCGCCGCCGCCGCCGCCAATGCCTCGACGCTGACGAATGTCTTGCTGAATGTGTCGCAGCCGTTGCATCAGTTGGTCATTTTCAATGTTGTTGTCTCGTTGCTGCTGATTCACTTTGGGCTTTTCTGTTGAAGAACTTTCTTTGACTAGTTTAGTGCTAACTGGTTCTTTGCTGTTATTAGGTTGTTTTGCAGCAGCAGCAGCCTGTATTACTACTGCTGATCGTTTTTCTGTGGTTGGTCGTCGCTCGGCCACCTTTGCCTGGACAGGGCTGTTGGCACCTAGTAGTTTGTTGCTGTTTGAGACGTTGGAAGCGGCAGTTTTGGCTGCTGTCAAACCATTACTGCTGTTGTTGTTGCTGTTGGCTGTTACTGTCTTTGATGTGGCAGACTGAAAGCTAAAAGAGCTACTTGAGGGGGAACCTTTGCTGGTGTTGGCTGAAAATCGTTCCTGGGCAATGCTGCTGCCGCCGCCCTGTCTGTTCTGTTTGCCTGGCTGCCTGCTGCTGCTCACTTGTGAAGAATCCAAAGATTTGGCTTTTGAAAGTGTTGACGTTGCTGCCGATGCTCGTGATTGTCGCTGTGGCTGACTGATCTCAACTGAAGGCTTTGCGCTAAACAAAAGAAGAAGAATTTAAGTATTATTTTCAAGTTAAAACCATCCCATTACACACATGTCAGTCACATTACCTTGTCGCTTGAACTGTCGTCGTTGTCGTCGCCGTCGCCTTGGGCGCCTGGTCGACCACCGAGTTCGCCTGGT